CTCATTTGGGGGGAATACTATTAGATTTTACTTATTAAGCTGTAGTTCGAGTTTTTGTTCTTGATGGTAAAGACTATAACTAGCATAACAATAACCAGAGCAAACTAGTACACTGAGCAGCGTGAGTCGTGGAAGTTGCCAAAAAGCAGTCGTAGGAGCCTAGCGGCAGAGGTGGGGCCCTCCTTAGGCTGAGGACGCGGGTTCGACGGACGCTTAATTGCACAGTTCGAAGATCAATGACGGTGAATTAAAACACACACACACACACACACACACACACACACACCACACACACACACACACACACACACACACACACACACACACACACACACCACACACACACACACACACACACACACACACACACACACACACACACACACACAAACACACACACACACACACACACACACACACACACACACACACACACACACACACAGAGAGAGAGAGAGAGAGAGAGAGAGAGAGAGAGAGAGAGAGAGAGAGAGAGCAAGAGAGAAGAGACAGGCAGACGCGCACGCGGTGATTCAATGAGAGGTAAAAGAACCCAAGATGGTTAACATCACCTAAACAACATGCAATAAGAAAAAAAAACCTAACTTGTATAAAGTTAATATGTAGTCTGTTCTTCGGCGCTACTAGCAATTTAACATTTTTGTTTTTACACATAAAATCAGAATATGTAATCTGATCCTGCAGTCGGTGATCTAAATGGTCATAATGAAAGTTCCTTCCGGTGATTTTTTAAAGCAAATCTGCGTTTGATAAAACTTCTTTGAAAAAAAAAATATTGCGCGGACGACACAATGTTTACAAAACCACGAGGCAACCACTCCGTGCAAGCAGTGTTCGCAGCATGGCGAGCTTCAAATCAAGCAAATTAGCTTAACGTGCATAGCGCGCGAATAATCGGCAATCAAGGGGAATTTCCGCTCGGCGGAGCTTCGCACTGGACATTTCGTGCTTTGGCGATACAAGGCACTATGTTCCCCCCTCTAAATTCGTTCAACACCAATATCACCTCACCATTGATCATATTAAGGTTCGAGGAAACACACTTCATGATACTTTTTTTTCGATTCCGGAAATTGCAAACTGCAGAAGTAACAGCCGGTCACAAGCGCGCGACCACAGCCTCAGGTCCGCTCGACTGCAGTACATCGGCCGATATGGAGCACCAGGAGCCACTGCGTAGTTTTCGAGAAGACACTTGTTCGCGGTCCCATTATTACTATTGGCTTATGTATATATAACAAAGACACGACAATCAGAATCACGCACGAGTTATCCATTCGTTATCGGAAGAGGACGCCGATTCACGCTGCACTGCATTCGAACAAAAGCGCCTCTCGCAGCAAGGCGAGACTGGAAACGCAATGGCACAGTGCGACGCGCACGAAACAGTAGACGACGCGCGCGACAGTTTAACGCGACACGGCTCACTGAATGAATGTTTTATGCGCGGGGAGCGGGAAAGCGGCCGTGCGGTCTACCGGCGGCGAGCCCAGCAATCGTCAGCGGTTACGGATGGCGGCGGACAAAAGGACGGAGCTTTTGAAGAGGAAAGTGCCGAGCTATGAGGCGGGCGAAGATAAGGGCAATTAGTGGAGCAGCAACGGGGTAGGGAGGCGACGTAAATGCGAATACAATGCCGCCGAGGATCGCAATCACCCGCAGGACGGAATTAGGGACGGCGAAGAGATCGTCCTGCCAGTACAATTAGCAGTAATTGCTGTTTAACCACAGCAGTGCACAGCTAGGCCGACGGTGGCCTCGGTGGTTATATAGTGGTCGAATGCTGACCCGAAGGTTGCGGGATCGAATCCCGGTAGCGGCGGTCGGATTTTTCGACGGAGGCAAGAATGATACACGCCCGCGTACTCAGATTTAGGTGAATGTTAAAGAACCCCAGGTGGTCCGAATTCCCGAATTTCCTCCACTACTCAAACAAGGGTTGTTGAACCACAGAAACTATTTTATCAGCTGGGCCGAGGATGAATGTTGTTTGTTGCAAGCGGATATAGCGAACGCCAACACGGGTCAACAAGCTAGGGCGTGCGCCTAAAATGCGGGAAATACTGGGCTCAATAGCACCGCCGGACACCCAGCGGAATCCGTAACGGGCGAAAGAAATGGCCCGGCCTGACACTCGGTGAAGCAGGTAATGCGCTCAAGAAAGTGCAATGCCCCTATAATCTCTGTTATATATTTCCCATCATCAGCAGCCAGCCACATTTGCTCCTAAAATCATTGTGAAACACGAAACACACACCTAGAAAAGAAAAAAAAAACGTTGTGAACCAAATACATATATCTCTAGGCTGGCCTGATACACATAATATCAGGCATGTGCGTGAGTGTTCCGCCAGTCGCGCTGACGAATAAATAAACTGTGCTATTTGGCAAGGCGACGGCATATCAGAAACTTTTCAGTCCGTTGCACCTGAGCTAAGCTTATGCTTGTCCACAACGAAGGATCAGTGGTTATGGAGCTCGGGCTTTTGACCTGACGGATTAGCGACGGCGGTGGCATTTCGAAGTGGTCGACGCCCGTCTACTTTGCGGTGTCAGTGGACATTAAAGAACACCAGATGGTCGGAATTTCCGGAGCCCTCCACTACTCATACTCAAATCGCAGTTTTGGGTCATTAAACAAAGTATATCATCATCACGTAGTTTGTGACGACGCATACGCACCCTTTCCAGCTTTCTTGGAATATCTTCAGCTGAACTTCACCTGCGAGAAAGCGCCTATCCAGTTCAGAACGTTTCTCTCTGCTCCGTGTGTCGTGCCACTCGGCGATTTAACATCAATTTAACATTGGTGCACCAGCTCGCTCATCACTGAACGCTTCACGTTTCATTGGTCAGAGTACCACCTCATATCACGAAAAACTTCAGGAGCAGACGGAAAGCATCTTTTGAAATAGCCAATGCCATCGAGGGGGCCATCTTGCACTTGGGTGTGAAGTCATCTTGCGTGAAGTCACAGTTCTGCTTCGAGTTCGGAACGATCTAATAAGTGATCAATCACTGCGAAACAAAGCGAAAAACGACGACGAAGAAAAAAAAACAGGAAGGACAAAGCGCTGCTAAAATAAATGCGTTCATTTACGCGAACACGAGTTTACATGCTTTTGACAGGAGAGGAGGGAAAAATGTTGTCGAAAACACGCATGCATCTCACCTTATCAAGAGCATAAGATTAACGGTGCAGATAGTTAACCTTTTTATCGGTTAACGCTATTAAGGGTGAACTGACACATCGCAATCATGAAGCGTTGTTTCGCGCTCTTTCGCAGTCGTGAAGCGATATCATAACAAGCTGTTACGGTGTTCAACTGCTGAACCGCAAGTTTCGGGATCGAATACCGGCCGCACAGCCACAATTTCGATGGAGGCGAAAATGCTTGTGACCCGCGTGATTCGATCGGGGCGCACGTCAAAGAACTGCGGGTGGTCGAAAGTTTCGGAGCCCTCCATTACGGCGTCTCTCATAAACATATCTTGACATTGACACGTTAAGTGCAACAATAATATTATTATTATTATGAGAGCATTAGTTACACTGGCCAAGCAAAAGCGGTTTCGCGTGCACGTACAAGACCTCTGCTACGCATGCGCGAGTAGCAGTGACGTCACACGGCGCAAAGTTGGAGGCCTGGAAACATCTGGAATGAGACGCGCTTGACTGTCGTGAGCTCACTCGCTAGTCGATCCGTCCGTCCTTCCAACCATCCATTCACAGCTCATGCTACGTGTATCACCGCATAGCCGAGCTAAGCCACCAATTATTATTATTATTATTATTATTATTATTATTATTATTATTATTATTATTATTATTATTATTATTATTATTATTATCATTATTATTATTATTATTATTATTATTATTATTATTATTATTATTATTATTATTATTATTATTATTTTGAATATCACGTTAGGTTTGCGTAGGGAACCGAATCCTGCACCTATCAAGAACGGCAATGTTACTTCACTGCAAGCTTACTTACTGTGACGAGAAGCAGATCACAAGCGTTTAAGCGTGAAAAGCTTTGTCATATAACCAGGACTCTGATATAACCAAGATGGTGTAAAAAAGAAGAAGGGACTATAATTATTTACGCTTGTGGATTGTGTTTAAATTAAGAAAATACTCCTAATTAACACTACACAGCTAGTGCGCTCATGGTGGTCATCGTATGAGTGGATGCAATGAAAAATTAGCGAGCTTGAGTCAACGTACCCATATATATATATATATATATATATATATATATATATATATATATATATATATATATATATATATATATGGGAAAGAAGTGTAAACAAAGGGCTCGTTTTTCCGTGTTTTAACACAATATTAATGAGATATAACACAGTAATGCCAAGGAATGTACAAGGGAAGTTATTAGAACCAATAGAATGAAATAAGAAGAAAGAAAAGTGGATGAAAAAATAACCAGCCATGAGCAGGAATCGAACCTACGACCTTCGAATAACGCGTTCGATGCTCTAACCACTAAGCTACCACAGCGGCCTTCCCTCCATCCACTTTTTTGTGTTCAAAATGTGAAGTTCACGTGCTACATGACGCCAAACATGCGCATAAGAGTGTTTTCACACTCGTCGTTTGGCTTATAGATGGCGCTTACTGTCACTCCTACTTCTAAATTCACATATAAACCCAAAAAAGTGGATGGAGGGAAGGCCGCTGTGGTAGCTCAGTGGTTAGAGCATCGAACGCGTTATCCGAAGGTCGTAGGTTCGATTCCTGCTCACGGCTGGTTATTTTTTCCTCCACTTTTCTTTCTTCTTATTTACATTCCATTGGTTCTAATAACTTCCCCTGTACATTCCTTGGCATTACTGTCTGTTATACCTCATATATATATATATATATATATATAATATATATATATATATATATATATATATATATATATATATATATATATATATATATATATATATAGGTCACTCACCCTCTGCTCGCGTATCTGTGCCTCGAGGGCTTCGGCGAGTGCGGCGGCCCGGCTGCGGCCTGTCGTCGAGGCGCGCCTCCATGCGGCTGAGCCACGCCTCGAGCTCGCGGCGTCGGTCGTCCAGGCTGCGGCCGGCGTCCGAGGCGACTCCCTCGAGCTGGCGGCGACGCTGCAGCGCCACCGATTCGTTCCGGTCCCACTCCTCGCGAAGGTTGGCCACTGCGCGGTAGAGGAGGGTGACACAAAACGTTTTACTTAAGCTGCAAACATGGCAACAGTCAAAGCAGAGTACACAAAGAGAGAAATTGTTTACTGAAATGCTGGAGATTTCAGCCCGGCTATTTGCCTCACATCATGCTCCGAACAGTGAGTGTTGATTACGATGCACGTATACCAATAAACACATGAAAGCACAAACAGCCACATGAACACACGTGGATGGCATAATTTTCAAAGTTTCGCGGCCCACAAGAACGTGAAAAGCGCATTCGTAGAACGTAGCGCACAGCTGGTGGTCTGCATTGAGCCAGCCGAGTATTGTGTCTGCGATAGCGCGCTTGATAATCAGACAGCCGTTAGTGCACCGAGTGAAGCGATAGCTTAATGCACTATCGCTTGACTCGGGATATAACAGATAGCCCCCAAACTTCGGGCAATAAACGCAGTCTTCTCTTTGGATCCCTGGCCTATTCAGTCCCTTGGCTATATATAAAATCGAAAATATGCCACATTTCTAAGCTCACGTCCCATTGAAGCTGCAATACGCCTTCAGACGCTCTCTTTTATGTCTATCGCCCGTAGTCACACATAATATTTTGCATATTATATAACTGTTTGGGTTTAACATCCCGAAACCAGGGTGTGATTATGATAGACGCCGTAGTGGAAGCTTCCAGACATTTCGACCACCTGTGGTTCTTCAACGAGTACCTAAATTAAAGCAAACGAGCTTCAATCATATTTGCCTCCATCGAAAATACGGCCGCCACGGCCCGAATAGAACATGTAGCTGATCTGCTGGGACGTTACATAGGATGCATATTTGCGAGTCAGACTAGTTTGATTTTGCTTTTGGAGCACAAGTGACGTTGAGTCTAAAGCGGTGCGGAAATGTTTGATTTTGTATATCAGGGTGTCGCTGCGCGTAGACGTCACAGTAAAAATCGATTCAACGTGGGATACTGCAAGCGCTCGACCCTACACATCCAAGCACCGGCGTAGAAAGTTATCAAGCACGTAACGACTGATATAAAGCGAAGGAACCGGAAGAAGTCACTCTACGCTAAGAAAATGATGACTATACAATGCCCTAGTAGGACACAAGGTCATCACACGCAGCCAGTACAAGTCGCAATCATTGTGCCCGGCAAAAACATCACGAAAAAAAAAAAGAAGGCCAGTGACCAAATGATCGCCGCCAGGCAGCGATGAAAACAACAATTAGTCGCTGGTTAAGCGACCCTGACCATGCCTACACCAACACCACTCGCTGTTACAGAATGGAGGACACGTGTTTTCGTGTTAAATAAGCACATAATGTTGTTTCAGAAACAGGCTCATTACAATCAACTGGCTACGTGTCCGGCAAAAAAAGTTGAACATGGAGATCTAATGAAATCGTATGCGCCGACAATAACGCAACATGGAAGCTAATGAAATTGGAGACTCTATGATATACGTTTAAATAGACTGTCAGGCTTGCAAAAAAAAGGGGGGGGGGGAGAAGTTAACAAAGACTTCCAGAAAATGCACACGTCATCTGCCAATCATGTTCACACTGTCAGTTCTAAAAAAAAGCACGGAACACCCACAGTTAACTTCGCCCGCACCTAAACAACGCTCCCGAGAATGAGAGGTACGGCGTTAAGTACACAATCAATGAGGCGTCGTCTCGGTTTCCTTCGTCACAAGCAGCGCATCTCCGGTGTGGTTGCCCGCCTTAGCGCAGATCTCGCATTCAATATGGAAAACAACTCGGAGGAACGATAACGCCGTAACAAGACGGGCGCTCTGGCGACTACGCGAGTTTGAGCCGGACATCATCGAGAGTGTAAACCCGGGCCGGCTACAAGGACTGAGCATTCATTAAGAATGCCGCTCGCAAGCAGCGCCGTGCCACTCTACGACGACGACGACGACGAAGCGCAAGGGGAGGGAAACGGATCGGAGCCAAAGCCACTCGAGCGTTGCGTAAGCGGGAGCGGATTACCGCGCCTTGCGCCTGCGCGCCTAAGACCATCGCAAACACACGCACTCACGAAGACAAACGGCGGTGTGCGGCCGGCTTGGCTAATACACTACATTCCGCGTCACTAGTTCTGTGCAGCATCGTCTCGCATCGCAAAGTGTAGACAGAAAGGGAGAAAAGACTACAGCGTGCTTCCATGTAGAGGTGCCCGGACCCCTGCAGTCCAATGCACCGTAATTAGCGAGATGCAAAGAACGAAAAAGCCTGCAGAACCCCCCCCCCCCCCCCAAAAAAAAAAAAAAAAACAATTTGTCATTGGAAGATGCTGCGCCGAAACGAGTTGGCACATCCTTGGATTGGCTCGATGACTAGGCGATGAGTGGGGCTGAAGGCTGCGCTGCACGGCGCGTGGGCTGACCTCCCACCCGCATAGAGACCGGGCGAGCTCATTGGCCGTTCGCCTTGTTAGCGCGATAGCGATGCCGGCTAGCGAGCGCATGGAAGCGAGAAAAGAAGTCTCGGCGAGAGTTTTCCACGAGCACAAAGAGCGATCTCGAGTGATCATCGTTTTAATCCAATCATTTCCGGGTCGGCGACCCCGACTTCCGAGTGAGTGTTCAAGAATTTAGAGCGGATTGAGCGGGCAAACGGAATGACGGAAACATGAACAAAGTGAGGGAGAGATCCGACGAATAGCCTGTACGTACAGTCATAAACCACGGCTAATGTATGAGCAGTGTTCTGCGTAGACAGCACATCGAGCATAATGCTAAACTTGCATCGAGCTCATCAGCCGCGCTTCGTGTAAGAGGAGCGGTACCGCCCCGGCTCCTGCAGCGCTAATTGGGAAGGCAGCCAGAGCACCCAGTACGGAGTAGCAGTCGCAACCGACGAAGCAGACCGCCTTAGGGGCCGCAGATGGTTAGAAGTTCTATAGCAACGATCAATCAGTCGGAGCTAATTCTGTGAAGCTAGTATCATCGTCAGACAACGCTCTACACTCTAAGCCGAAAAAGACTAAAGTGGGGTATGCCATTGGTCCTTTAGGGGTCTAAATGCGCTGCCACAGATTTTGAACCAATTTTGGACTAACTGCGGGAGTAACTGCAAGGGTTCAACTGTTACCCCAAGCACTTACTCCACTTGGTTTAAATGTTGGCCCCAGTAGAATGCTCCGGCGGGACTAACAGTTGAACCATCTGGACCAATGGCAAAAAAAATGGCGACACTGCGTTTGTGCAGTATATTTTATGTTTATTCCAATTTAATCAGCACTGAAGATCATAGTATGTTATTCATGCAACACACACACACACACACACACACACACATACATACGCACTATTATTTCAAAGTAAAACACCGCAAACACTGACTGCCCGCGCTGTACTACAGAGAACAGACTCTCGGGTATATATAGCACAGTATTTTGACCTCTCATCTAGTGCCAGTGGGCGACTTTTACTCGGCTTAAAAAAACAATAAACATTGATACCGTAACGCGAAAATTTACATCGGCTAATTCGTAGCACCGATGCGCACCGATCCTTTAATATGGATCCATCTAATATTCAACATGCTTCCAGCCCGAGACTACGAATTATCAGCTGGTATTCGATCATGTCGGCCGAACCAGCGTTCGCAGTGCTGGCGCACGAGTCCGCAAACACAAACATAGCAGCGGCGCTTGAGCGGGAAAGCCGGCGAAGCAGCCGCAGGCGCCCCGCCGATGCCATACCGTGTCGGCTTGCCGACGGCGTCGCTAGGCTTACGACGAGTACGGCTAAACGACCGCCGGCGATCGCAACATGCGGCTCGCGTGAAATTTTCGTCGTCGTTATTTTATAGTCACAAATGAACAATAGGTAAGTGCCCCATGTTCGCTGTGTCTTACGGAGTGATGTAGATATCTGTATACTTACAGCGACGAGACCGTTCGCAGGCACGGTTCTTTCATCGTGCTGGTAAGGCACAACTTGTGTACCGCTGGCCGCACGATTAGTCGTATCCGCGATCGCCTACACGTTGGATTTTTGATAACGATTGTCGCATGGATAAAAAGACATAAGTTTGCCTGAGCTACTATTTTCGTGAACTTGTACGCGACGTTTCCTTCGCTTGTGCCGGCAATGCACTCACACCGGCAGCCCGCTTGATACCGATGACGTACGAAGCCTACTTTTCCTATATATCGCTTTGAACTTGTGGTCACTGTGTGGGTACACGACCGCTGATGAACAGCTTACCTTTATTAGCATTGTCAGTGTTCACCGTAGTTCGAACTTATTCAGCACATTAAAGCGAGTTCTCGGCATTGCCCGTGTTTGCGGAGACTTTCACTTGGCTTCGGCTCGCCCGTGCCGGCATGGTGGAAACGCGAGGGCACTTGCTGTGTGCACTGACAGCGTGTTGTACTACTTTCCTCTCATAACATCTTCTATTCGTTACATAGTGCTTCACTTTCACAGTGGCGTATAGCCTATATATAACTTGTTTTCATGATCGCCGACCACGCCGAGCATTGCAGTGCAGCATCGACAGGAGGCGATCGCGGCGCAGTTGCCCTCCCCGTTGGTCCCTTCATTGCCGGGCGTTTGCGCAAGACACGCATTGTCACACATTTAGTCCCTGTTGGACGAACCGTTCGTCCATTGGTTTAACGACTGCAGTTAGTCCAACTTTGCCGAATTTCGGCTTAGAGTGTACGACTTGTAAATTGAGTTCGGAAAGCTGACGGCTACCAACTCTTTCGCACGCACTGTAGAAAAGACAGCCTGTAGCCGCACGGCGCCGTCACAAATGCGTTCGCAGCGACTTTTCATTAGGGAGGGCATCGCGAGATTGTGTATGCATGTGTGACATACGACGCCACCAAATATATTTCGACTCCCTGCCTTCGGCGTAAACGCCAGCACACGGTAAGCAACCCAACGACATCGAAAAGTTAAGTCCCACGCATAGGTCGACAAAAACAAAAAGCGCAACTCACACACTCAAGAAATATATCTGGACTCTCTCGGAGTGACCGCCG